CAACTAAAAATGGCAAGTTGTGATTTTCGTGTTGGGTAATGTTAGGCTAAACTGAATAAGCCATTTTAACTGCTTCATAACCGTAGCTTGACTGGAAAGCAACAACATTAAACCAGCTGCCAAATATTGTGTTGATCCCCTTTGTGTTGCTAAAACAACTCTGAACTGTCTGGACATGACTCCAGGGCCTCTAGGCGTGTCCTGTGGTGTCTGCCAGCACGAAGTTGGCACTTGAGCCTTTTGGTCCAGTGGCTTGCAGTGTGGGGCCTCCCTGGTGCTTCGGGTGGATTCGGGATCACATTGACATCTAAGCAGTTTGGAAGCCGGGTCAATGGCTTGGGCTGTTGTTGTTGTTCCTGAACAGTTTTCGTAGAGTGGTGGGGTGCATTGTCCTGCTGAGAGGGCACTGCCGGTGGGGGATGCTGTTGCAAAAACTGTTGTGTGGGAGGTTGAAATAACATACACACAAATGCCAGGACTTGAGTTTTCCCAGCTGGACGGTTCACGGCAATAATGAGGTTAGAACTGTTTTATGCACGTTACCTGTCAGTAATTCTAATGTTGTGGGAGCGTGGTGTATAAGTGGTGTGTAATAAGCGCATTTGGAAGCACACGTGATGTATTCTTTAGGTTGGTTAAATGTTTGTATTATTTTGTTGATCTCTTCTTTTTGTGCTTTTGAAAAGAAATGTCAAATCAAATGTTCTTTCTTCTCTCGTTGCCTAGAACTTGTGTCTGTTGCCATCTTTATAGCAGATCAAAATACGTTTACGACATCTGACATTGATTTTATGAAGGTAGACGTGACACAGCACCACAGCCCTCCTTCCAGTGATCCTAACTGACCCTCTTTTCCCTCCTCTCTACCACCCCCTCTGCCCTCCTTCTCTCCTTTTTTAGATGCAAGGTGTGCCGTCCCCCCCTCCTATCATTATCACCATCATCGCTCCCACGCCCACTCCTTCCACGCTCCCACCTACGACCGTCCCGCTCACGAACGTCCTACCTACAACCGTCCCTCCTACAGCCGTCCTTCCCACGACCGCCCTTCCTTCGATCGCCCGACCTTTGACCGCCCTTCCTTCGATCGCCCGACCTTTGACCACCCGTCCTTCGACCGCCCGTCCTTCGACCGCCCGCCCTTTGACCGCCCATCCTTTGATCGTCCTTCCTTCGATCGCCCATCCTACAGCCGTCCCTCGCACGAACGCCCCATCTACGACCGCCCATCACACGATCGTCCACCTCAGGACCGTTGGAACCCCCGTCTTCGCGTGAGCACCGGAAATCAGCTCTACATGTTGGACCAGGAAGAGGTATTGTACTCCACACCCCAAAGATACACTTATTCTCATGAACCTGTTTGGCACAAGTGGGAAACCAGAAGAAAAATGAGGATGCTACTCAATCCCTATCAAGTATTTTTCACCAGATACCACTCTAAAAGACAGATATTTCTGTTTTTTGATTGAAGTCACACTCGTTGATCACATTGTCAGTCGTCACCCGGTACAAATAGTGCTCAAACAACTTTTATTACATAGACAAGTGAAACGATTTAAGAGATTATACACCAAACGTGACACATATCTCATAACATCGTGTAAACATAGATGACATATTTTGTTGTTTCAGACTTAGATCCTTCTGGCAAGATTTAAATTCCACTCATCAAAATGAAAAATGTAGTTGTCATGGAGGGAATGCTGTACCTCTTCCCACATCACCACTCAATCTCCGGTAGTGTAAAATGCAGCCCTCTCGCTACAGTACAGGTTTCTGTTCTTATGGGTCAAGTGAGAAAAATATTCCACGGAACTGATCAAAAATAAGCCCAGTGACATGAGCACATTGAACAACAACCAAAAAAAACACAACAACAAGCAAACAAAAATGGTGTCACCAACAGAGCACTTAGATTGCTGAGAAACTTTAATTGCACTTACAATCACAACAGATCAGAGAGAGCAGAGGAGAGAAACGTGATATGAGCCTTCTACATGACTATTAAATGAACTTAACATAATCAGAACCAACAGGTTAGACCCACTGTCTTGGGTTTGCTTATGAAACCCAGGGTGTCCGAACCTGTTTTTTTTTCAGGCTGTCATTAGTGCACAGGTGCTCCTAGCATGTTAGAAATCCATATAGAAGTGTTAATAAAGTTTAAAACGTCAATAAGCTCCTTGGGATGCTTCCACAAATTATGGTCCAAATGTGCTTACCTAATTCAGGAGATGTAATTGGGTAAGGGACAAACGTTTGTAACTGAGGTACGATGCTGTATGTCA